TTTTCCATTTCTTTGTGTCTTCCTCAATTTCTTTCATGAGTATTTTATAGTTTTCTGAGTACAGATCCTTTGTCTCTTTGGTTAGATTTATTCCTAGGTTTGCTCAAATTTTGTTGAGGATTTTTGCATCTATGTTCATCAGGGATATTGGCCTGTATTTTCCTTTTTTTTGGTAGTGTCTTTGTCTGGTTTTGGTATCAGGGTAATGCTGGCTTTGTACAATGTATTTGGAAGCTTTTCTTCTTTTTCTAGTTTTTGTAGTAGGACCAAACATTCTTTAAATGTTTGGTAGAAATTCACCTGTGAAGCTGTCTGATCCTGGCCTTTTGTTTGTTGGGAATTTTTTGGTTACTGAGTCAATTTTGTTACTAGTAATTGATCTGTTCCGATTTATTATTTATTCCTGGTTCAGTTTTGAAAGATTGTGTGTTTCCAGGAATTCATTTCTTCTAGCTTGTCCAATTTGTTGGCATAGAATTTTTTACATTATTTGCTTACTGCTCTTTGTATTTCTATGGTGTCAGTTCTTTCTCCTTTTTTGTTTCTTATTGGATGTGTTCTTTTTTTCTTGAGGAATCTGGCTAAAGAAACCAGCTTTTGGTTTCATTGATCTTTTCTGTTATGGGTATGTGGGAGTGTGTGTGTCTATTTCATTTATTTGTGCTGTGGTTTTTATTATTTCCTTACTTCTACTAACCTTGGGCTTTTTTTTTTTTCTTCTTCTTTTTCTAGTTCCTTTAGGTATTAATTTAGATTGTTTGAATTATTTTTTTTTTTTCATTTAAGCCTGTATTGCTCTAAATTTCCCTCTTGGAACCGGTTTTGCTGCATCCAAGATTTTGGACCATTGTATCTTCATTTGTCCCTATGTATTTTTTGATTTCCTCTTTGGGTTTCTTTGTTGATCCATTGGTTGTTCAGTACCATGTTATTTAGCATCCATGTGTTTGTGGTATTTTTTTTTCTAGTTTTTTTTCTTCTTGTGATTGATTTCTAGTTCCATACTGTTGTGGTCAGAAAAGGTGCATGGTATGATTCTACTTTTAAATTTATGTGATTTGTTTTATGGCCTAACATGTGATCTGTCCTGGAGAATGTTCCAAGCACATTTGAAAAGAATGTGTATTCTGATGTTTTTGGATGGAATATTCTGTAAGTATCTGTTAAGTCCATCTTGTCTAATGTGTCATTCAAAGGCACTGTTTCCTTATTGATTTTCTGCCTGATCTATTCATTGATACGAGTGGGGTGTTAAATTCCCCTACTATAATTGTAATACTGTCAATTTCTCCCTTTATGTCTGTTAATGTTTGCTTTATGGTTTAAAGGCTCCAGTGTTGGGTGCATAGATATTTACAGTTATTCTGTGTTTTGTTGGAGTATCATTATGTAATGTCCTTTTTTTATTATCTCTTGTTACAGTCTTTGTTTTAAAGTCTATTGTCTGATCTATGTATTGCTAGCCTGGTCTGTTTTGTGTTGTTGTTTCTTCCATTTGCATGGAATATCTTTTTCCATCCTTTCACTTTCAATGTCTATATGTGTCTTTAGGTCTAAAGTGAGTCTCTTGTAGGCAGCATATAAGTAGGTCTTTTTTTTTTTTTTCCAGCCATTATGGTGATTTAAAAATTTTAAATCTAATCATGCTATTACTTGCTCAAAATTCTAAAGGATCAAGTTGAATTCCTTACTAAGCATTTCAGGCCCTTTGTAGCATAATAGAGCATAGGTTTTAACCTTTACTACTTGTACATTTGTATTCTTCATCTGAGTTGTTAATGAGTTAAAAATGTTAAATTCTAGGGGCACCTGGGTGGCTCAGTCGTTGGGCGTCTGCCTTCGGCTCAGGTCATGATCCCGGGGTCCTGGGATCAAGCCCTGCATCGGGCTCCCTGCTCAGCGGGAAGCCTGCTTCTCCCTCTCCCACTCCCCTTACTTGTGTTCCCTCTCTCGCTGTGTCTCTCTCTGTCAAATAAATAAATAAATCTTTAAAAAAAAATGTTAAATTCTAATAAAAGGCTAGGTGCTCAAGGAATGGTTGCTGTCTCATGCCATATTCTTTAGCCCTACACATTGATCCCATAGGATTGCACTTAATTCTCTGGATGTAGCTGGCTTGTTCTTTCTTGATACTTGTTCCAGTTTGTGCCTCAAACAGCCCTGTCCCTGGTCTGGTTAATTCCTACCCATCTTTCAAAATTATAATTGGGTACCATTTCCATGTCAAGCTTTCCCTGATACCACCTAGGTAGAATTAATCACTTCCTCCTCTCTGTTCTCATTGTACATTCCATAAATCTAGTGTCCCTTCTGATATTGCTCTGATATTGAAAAAGTTTGGTCCTTGACTATTTCAGCAAGTATGTGGTTAGCTCTTGAGGACAGGTGTTCATCATCTCTGTATGTCTGTGTCTAGCATAGTCACCTGCATGAGTACTAATCATCAAATCCTTGGTAAATAATCTCCAAATTATTAGGTAAAATAAAAATCAGGGACAAGAATATGTGCTTATAACTAGATTTGTTTTCTGAAATAAGAATTAACCACTTAGAAAATTCAGTCTCAGTTGAAGGAAAAATTCAGAGCAAGTATTTTATGTAAACCTTTTTTTCCCCTAGGATAACTTAAAAGAACATGCCAACTGTGCAAACGCATATACGGTGGTTTGTTTCTTGAAGATTGTGTGAAGATTAAATAATCTTTCTAATGCCCCTCAGCACAGTGACACATAATAACCACTAAAAAAACTGGTCTTTATTGTTGGTACAATCATTCATAGATCAGGTATTTGTATTCATCTTGTTCCCCCAGATTCTTCTAAAATCTACATTGCTTAGTCAACTAAATTTGGCACTCTAATTGTTGAACACTAGTTGAGTTGATATATCAGTAACAAATTTTTTTTCTTTCTAAATTTTAATTTAGATTTAATTAATATATAGTGTATTAGTTTCAGAGGTAGAGTTTAGTGATTCATCAGTTGCATATAACACCCTGTGCTCATTACATCAAGTGCCCTCCTTAATACCCCTCACCCACTAACTGTCTCTTTACCAAATAACTTTTGGCCATAAATCATATTAATCATAGAGACTAACTATATTAGAAGTTCTAGATCCTCAACTATCAGAATAATAAAATACACTATAAATAAGTCAGCAGTACTTTTATAGCTGAAAGTTTATAATTTCCACGAGTGTTTTCATTATAGTCTTATAAATTTAGAGAACACAGTTTATAGTTATACATGGTAATGGAACAAATTAGTAGGTTATAATGTATTTATCCTGATTGTGTTATGATTATTAAAGTCAAATAATTTGATATTTTATTATGCAGTAAAACTTGTTAGAAAACACCTTTTCAGTGTCTTATTTAGAATTAAAAAATATTTTAAAAGTCTAACAAGCTTACTAGAAAAAAATGAAAAGCACTGTTTGTTCTAACAAAATTTATTATGCAGTAATTACAAAGGTTAAAGACTCCTCCATCTCAAATAAAAATAACTGTTATAATTACACACATAATATAGTAGAGCGATTCCAATAAATATCACAGGAAATAGTGCATTTTCAAATTGGAGAGACAAATACTTTCTCATTCACAGTGTCTGACATAGGAAAGCCTGTTCACATAATGGTCTGTATAAGGTCATGCTCTTAGTCCACACAGACTAGCTGTTGCCAACACAATTCTTTCAGAATGTGAAGTACCGGGCAAACCACTCCTGGCGCTGGGGATCTGGAGAAGCCACCGGGGAAGCTTCACTCTGAGGAGGACTGAATTCATAAAAAAAGAGAGACATGTAACCCAGCATTAAGCTGTTTTGCAAAATGAAGAGAAAAGCACAAAAAACATCAGTGTAGATGACCACAACTGGTTCTGTGTTAGATGTGTTTTGTAGATCCCTCTACACTAGATTGGTTTCTCCACTCCATGAGAGCATGAGAGTGCATCAGCAGCTCAGATGAAGTCAGTTAAGGAGGAGCCACATCAAAACAATTACAAAAAATTACAAAAAGACAAAAATCAGACCGCTGAGAAAAATGTCACCTTCTTTGAATAAAAAAATTCGGGAGGAATTGTCAGAAATGAGAACAAGATAACATTCCTCTTTTTCAGCACCTTTTTACTTAAAATTTCAGAATCTGACACAAGCATTTGATTTTTACACATGTGTCCACATATATAACTAAGTAACTAAGCCATGGCATAGTATTTTCACTACATGTATATTCATTTTAACTTTCATAATTCCATAAACAAATAGTCTAGGGGGAAAGGAGTACAATTAAGAAGCCCATTTCCCCTCCATCTTCAAAGTTATATCATTTATACTTAATTCTAACTAACGATTCTTTGGGCTAATTGAGAAAATAAAAGAATCCCTACCGTCTTTGGGGGAAATTACAAGGCACGCAACAATGTGTAATGGAAACTCCAGTAGTCAAGTTCCTTGAGCTCATGCACATGCATCTTACTGATACCTGAACATACCCATGCACAAGGGAAAATAAGCAACACAAAATATTTAGCAGGAGGCACATTCAAAAGTGTATGTGACTATTTTTATTCTTGCTACATTCTTCTATTTGAAAGTCATTAACTATGTCATCACTTACCCTAGAAAAAGGTCATCTACCTGTAAAACTATTACTAGTGACACTGCTGAGATTTAGTAGGAATAAGTTAAAAAAATAAATTTAAAGCAGCACAGACTCAGTAAGGTAAACCTAAAACAACAATACTTTCTGATGTTATTTAATGGATAAACAATTGGGTTTCATTTAAATTCTTGTTAATACATTTAATCAAGTCTGAGGTTAACTTCAAATTGGAATATCAGTTGTAAAATTTTTTTTCTAAATTTACTTTTTGCTTTTGTGTATCATTAAATTCCCAAAGCTTACATATTTTTTATTTTGGCAGTAAGCATATATATTTGTAAATAAGCCTGGTAAGCAAGAAAGTTAAAAAGAAAATACAAGAAAAACAAAAAAAATTTTAAAGTTCTGTAATAAAGATGGATTATTAGTGAAAAATCTGCTACAATACTCAAAATGAAGCAAATATCCATAAATATTAAAATTCTAAGCATACAAATTACATTAGCACCTCTTTCAGCATACAGAAAAATTGGCAAGAAATTAGAAAAAAATCTTAAGAGCCAAAAAGGAGTTCCTTAGAGAAGTGATAAATATATTGTGAAAATCTTTCACAGTAATATTTCTCTTCCTAGGCTGGTCTTAAAGTAGTGAATTTCTGCAATGTAAGAAGGTAAATTTTTCAAGTTAAAAAAGAAAAGAAAAAAAAAATCACTGGTGAGACGGGGCTCACCTCAAAAATGTCTTGGGCTCTTTAGGTGGCACTGGCTGAGGAAGTGGTTTGCTGCTGTTGAACTCAATATCGTGGACTGGAGAATTAGGAATGGGATCCAGGCGGTTAGGATGTCCATTGCCCACTCCACCAGATTCCAGAGCACTTAGATTGGGAACACTCACAAACCTGTTTGTTGGTGACTTATCATTCTTCTTCTTTTGCTGCATTAAAAATAATACATGTGAGGATAGTCCCTGCATAAGGACAAATGAGAAAATAGGAATAGCAGAAGATACAAATTTGGCATGGGAAGGTTTTGGAACCTTTATGTTAAATTAGGATGTTAAAATGAACCAGTGTTACCCAAAGTGTGGTCTGGGGATCCTTGGAGGTGTTCTTTATCTACATGGAATCCTTAGGGACACACATGCTGCTGGGCCAGAAAGAATGAGGAAGAAACACGAATTGGTGTTCATGGGGAGGGGAGGAGATGGAAAGAATGTCAAAGGGTAAAGACTACTGGGAGGAAAGGGAGAAGGAGATCTTGCAGATACCACGAGGTTAAACAGATTTGGGCTAAAATTAGGAGAAGAAGGTTATAAAGTTAAACAGTTTTAAAAGGGAGGTCCGTGAACTTTAGCCTTCTGTCAAACGGAGGCAGTCCTTGTCTGGAAAAAAAAAAATGGGAATGGAAAAATGCTTGGCAAAGTAGTTTGAAACATATCCCACATTCCTACTTAAGACCTAAAGCTGACTCAAGTAACTGGTTTTAAATTCACTGCACTTTTTGAAGAGAGAAAATTAAATCTGCATAATTAAGTCTCATTTCCCAATTGGTGGTATCAATAATTGGCTCATAATCTTTTAAAAACATTAAAAGGTTATAAAACAAAAGTGATCCATTTATTAAATATTTTAGTTGGTCTTTAAAATTAACAGGAAGAGGAACACCTTCAGATTATCAAAACCTATCAGCTTGCAAATCAATTCTATTTTATTCACACCTCTAGAATCAATAAGCATCATCTTGCTGGAACACAATAAAATTTAACATTTTGCAAGATATTTTTAACACCATCTTTTACAAGTTAAATCTGTGCTAACTGAATTTATGAAATATTTTTCTGCAAAATGATTAAAGTGTTTTTTTAAAAAAAACTAATAGCCTAATTGGCCTTTTTCCTTTATTTACAAAGTAATGATCTTACTATCTAGACCTTGCCCTCCTCTGTCATATTCTGTGAATCATGGAGTCTCTGACAGAGTCTACTCTGCATAATTGAAAAGAGAAAGGAAAAATAATAATGTCTTCTAGAATCACAACTATTAAAGCTGAAATCACTCAAAAGTGAACAAAGATGTATCTTTTGCATTTTCTTATTCTAGTCACCAGAGGGCATAAATAAACCTACTATAGGTTTCTATTTGATGAAATGAAAAGTATCATTGGTAAAGTTCTACAGTAACCATTTTGTACCTAAAAATGTAATTCCAAAAAATATATTAGAAATATTTTCATTTTATTATTTGTTTCAACAAGTCTCATAATCTTGCTTTGTTGTATTTCACCTTAAATTATGAACTTAAAAACTATAACTGTATTAATTCACCAACTATGAGAGCCTTCCACGTGCCAGGTAGTATTTTAGGCTCTGTAGATACAGCTATAGGCATCCCTGCTTTAGTCATTCTGTTTCATAAAACATTTAAGTTCATTCTGTGTTAAAGGCTTAAAGTTTGAAGCACTTTAACTTGTGAAGGAAAGGTAGAGTCCATGTTCTTAACAGAGAAGTTTTTATGAGCATTGAAAGAAAAAATTTCTGGCTAAGGGCCTAATATAAATTAGGCATAATGGGCAAATTAAATCTGAATCAAAAAATAACTTTCGCACTAGTACTTTAATTTATTTCTACTACTGATTTCTGCCAAAAGCTATGTAATCCCTGTGAAGCCAATATACATAATTAATTCTTCATTATTTGCTTTATTCACTTATTTGTGGCCACTTACAGAAAATGTGATGAAATTTGCAACTGAATACCTACTATACCCAAAGCACTATGAGGGGAGCCATAGGAAGCTGGGGTACAAAGATGTGTAAGACTTGGCCATGTCCATTTCACTTGTCTACAGGCTCTTCTATGCTCCTAAGAGAGTAACAAAGTATCAGAATGGGCCATCTTCAATTTTAAGTGTCAAGAAAGGTCCTAAGACTGAGAGAAGTCAAGCCCTTCTCCAAAGACTGGTAAGCAACAAGGTTAATTAACATGGCAGGCCTCAGGCCTTAAGTTAGGGAGAGCTGTTGGGTATACATGGCTGGGGTACCTTTCAGGACCCCATAGAGGATAGTGAACACCAAGAAAATGATGTTAGTTTTCTTTGGAGATATGAAAAACAAAATGATAGAAACCAAGGTTTTACAATCATGTCTTAAGGAGTACGAATTTCTCAACAAAAATATTAGTCTCATTCTGTGAAAATGTATACATAGATTTCATAGATTTTAATCCTAAATATTAAATTTAAGAAAACAGTATTTGGAAGGTTTATCCTATGCTACTCTAAATATTAAAAATTTTAAGCAAGTTTTAAACTACATCCCTATTTTAGAGTGTTTATAGCACATACCTTAGTCAGTGGATTAACAACACCAACAGTAGGGCTTGAGTTAAACACTTTGTTGAAGTTAGTTTCTCGATTGACTAATTCCAGCTGATAAAACTTATTATCCTCCTATGCAAAAGAATTATAAACATCACTTAGACATTTTCTGTTGAAAATTTAAAACTGTTTAAATGCCATTTCATTCAAAATTTACTATAAAACATGAGTGAGGACTTATATACCTCATTCATCAAAGATTTCTAGATCTGACTGCCAGTGTCTTAATGACTGCTGGTGGGAAGGTTTTCAAAACTTTTCAAAATCCTATGCTTTGGGGCTCTTCTCTACCGTTTAATAACTTTTTTCTCCAAGACTGGATCGAAATGTTTTATTTGGTCCCATCTCTATTCCAAAGGGCTGACTGTGCAGTTCGAGCAGCTTAACTTACATTCATGGAGTTGTATGCATGGATTTGTTGTTTCTATAAAGGTGACACTGATATATCCTTATTCTTCAGTACTGGTAATACATTTGATCTTGCCTAATCTCCTCTCTGAGACCTCAGTGTTCAGGTGACTTTTGAACAACACAGGTTTGATCTCCATGGGTCCACTTACATGCTGATTTTTTTTTTTTTTATGAATACAGTACTATAAATGTTATTTTTCTCTTCATTATGATTTTCTTAGTCACATTTTTCTCTCTAGCTTATCAGAATACAGTATATAATATACAAAATAGGTGTTAATTGACTTTGTTACCAGTAAGGCTTCCGGACAACGGTAGTTTATTAGTAATCCAGTTTTCGGGGAGTCAAGTTATATGCGGATTTTCGACTGTGCAGGGAGTTGGTGCCACATGCACTATTCAAGGGTCGACTGTATTACAGCAGTGCTAATCACTGACCGAAGAAAAAGTGACCTACATACAGATAAATCCTTTGCCTTTCACTTCACCACCACCATGTGTCAACTGAACAAACTGTAGGAAGTAAACACATGAGGGTGAATGTGCTCTAGTAGAACTAGATTCTTCATCCCCTTCTTAGTTACCACTGTCATTCACACCAGTCTCAGCCCATGTGCTTCAGAGTCCGCAGAATTGGTGAGCAGTGGCAAGAGTGTAGAACAACCCTTAGCTGGGTTCCTAGCCTGTCACCAACTAGCTATATTGCTTTGTGTTTGCTTTATTCTTTGAAGTCTAATACCTATCCTGTTGTGAGGATAAAATACAACTATATCTTTAACATCTGTTCTCTAAGAACTGGAAAAGCTACTTCTACCATAGATGAAATAGATATACTTAATCCCTTTGCTAACTTCATGTGTGGAATAGAAGGTAATCAGAGGAATCTATGAGGCCTGTGCGCATGTTCACAATGCCTGGAAAATCTTGCCAATGTCTGCTCCTGGGTTCCATAATGAACCCCAATCTATAACCTACTTTTAGCAGGAACTTGTAGTCCCAGCCAATAGGCTGACTTTCCTAAATGCCAACAAAGAGAGGTTCTTTAAAGAAAAAAGAACTTCAGAAATAAATGCTTCTAGGCTTTCTTTGCATGCTAATTACATCCACAGTTTTCAGTTGAAGAGATCAATGAATCAATAGAGTGATTAGCATTCTATTTTTAGTTTTTACTCTGAAAGATTTTTCTTTTTTTGTGACCATAAACAATTATTTTAATTATTGATCAGGATATATAATTTTGGAAGACTCTAAAATGTTTTATGAATTAAGACATTTGTGTATTATTCTTGAAGAATAATAGCTTTAATGAAGGCAGTTTATTTATTGTTAAAACTGTATTTCCTTCCCTGATGGACTGCTCAGAGACTCTTACACCTCAGTTTGGACCAAGACTCTTAAGAGAGAGCCTATAATTTTTCTTAGTTAGAACCCTAAGAAAATGGAACCCTTTTCCCATGAGTATCTCTTTGGATTAGGGTAAGTTAACATGACTAACTGGAAGTACACAGTGCAGGCTAATGCATGCGTGTGTTGATTCTTCTTTCCTATCCAATTCTAATTCTACATGAACAATACACACCTTCAATAACATATTAACTATATGTTGGCAATGACATTATTAAACAAAAATAAGTACTGAAGACTTCTAAAAAATACTGAAAAGAGGCACAATTCCCTTACCTAATACCAAGTTTAAAAATTTATGTTTCTTATCCTTATTCATGAACATTTTTAATAAACTTTTAATCACAATGCACATATTTTATACTTTCAATTTTCATTTAGCATTACTTAATACTTAACCAACAGACTGTTGATTGGCAAACATGGTAACTAACATGGTTACATTCCTCCCCCCACCCCCAAATCTTACAATTAATTTCTTTATGACTTGGTCTCTTTCTGTAAGCATGGCTTTTAATTCTGTAATCATCTGTATATCTTCTGGTTTTGATTCTCTCATTAGATATTTTTCTTCCATTTCTTCTAGTCTGAAAACAAGAAACCTTTTAGTTCATTGACAGGACTCAGACACATTCTTCTGTAATACCTACATTTTTCAAATTAGTCCAGTTGAACACATACAAAATTTAAAACCAAATTTTTTTCCTTAAAACTTTTTAGCATAATAACATGACTGCCTCAAATAGCTCTAGTGTTATTAAAGGCTCTAAGGGGGTAGATGATGTTATTAAAGACTACAGATTACTTTTGCAAGAATTCACTCCATTGTAAGTCATTCAGCAGTGTGTGGGGATGAGGTGAGGTAAGCTCTGTAGAAGAAATGATATAATGAATAATACTAACCTCTAAATATAGGTCTGATGCTGGAATTGTTGTCTCCCTATCAGGAGAACTTACCAAAAATACACTCCTGTGTGATGACATAAGGCTTGGTAACATACAGAAAAGGGACAAGAAAAGATACAGAGGAAAGGGAAACAAAGGACACATACATGACATCATTCTTTCTTATGGGAAACACAATTTAAAAATTCTGTATTATCAGCTAATACATATACACTGTAAAAAGGCTCATCAGATAAGATAATTAATTTTCTAGGCTTCTTCTGCCCCAAATGAGATGAGAAGGCAATAGGCCTGAATGCCACTGAAGGCTCTAGAATAGAGGCCACCTTTTATGAGCAGAGGCACCATAGACCCTGCAGAGTCTAAAAATATAGGACAGGGCAGAATGAAGAGGATGCAAATGGAAACTGCCAGCTCAATTGGGAGTGTGGGGGAGAAACAATTTCAGTTTTAGAAACTTTACATAATTACAGCAATTTAAAAACTTACTGTTTTCAAAGTAAAAGGGTAGAACGTAAGCTCAAAATCATGGTGAATGAAGATGCACAGAGAAATTTATTCAACAAATACTGAGTAACATCTATCTTCTAGGAATCACAAGAATCTCTGCGTATTTTAGGAATTTTAGTAAAAAAACTCCGCTAACTCAGCCCAACCTAAAGTTCTAATTTGGAGGGTTCAGGAAGATATGTGGGTAAAGACAAGTATGGGGTTAGGAAGTCACCATGTCTCAGGATCAGAGGGGACTTTGTCAATTCAGTTTGAGGTTAGTTTCACTATCTTTTATTCTTTTGTGACGATGCAGACTGAGTGGAAAATGTGCTTCACTGGGCTCACATAGAGGGACCTTGTATTTTATCATGATACGGCGTTTTATGGGCAAAAAAAAAAAGCTTGAGGAACAATGATCTAGTCAAGGAAAAAGGCATTGGGTTTAATACCAGAGTAGCCACAAGATGTCACCGTGGTACTTTATCATTAAAAGCAAAATAGAAGATTTTTTTTTTTTAAAGATTTTATTTATTTATTTGAGAGAGAGAGAATGAGAGACAGAGAGCACGAGAGGGAAGAGGGTCAGAGGGAGAAGCAGACCCCCGCTGAGCAGGGAGCCCGATGCGGGACTCGATCCCGGGACTCCAGGATCATGACCTGAGCCGAAGGCAGTCGCTTAACCAACTGAGCCACCCAGGCGCCCCAAAATAGAAGACTTTTGAACTAGCTGAACAAGAATACTTGGCAGTAAATGGTCGCTAAAAAACTCAATTTAATGCCTTATTTAAAATTATTATTAAACAAAATAAATAAAACTATTATTTCTATTGTTTTGTTCTAGTACAATAAGTTAAAGTGAGTCTAGAACAATCACTTAAAATCCCTGAACCACCTTTTTCCGCTCTGAGCCTCAATTCTAGTGTGTGTTTTCATTTAGTTTAAACATGCTTTACCTACAAAATTATTATCAGTTAATATCACCAAAAAAACTTTAAAGATACCTTGATATTAAAAAGGGAAAAAATAACTGATTAAATTGAAGAAACAATTCATATAAACACAAATTGGAAAGCATTAAAGGAGAGAACAAGTGATATGATCTAGATTTAACTTGCAAATATACTTCCAGAATTACTAAGTCTTTCAAAATTCTCACAGGAAGAACACCTGGTATTACTCTGATCCATTTCAAGCCAGCGCTGGTCAACAGTCTCCCTTTCTTCAGCTGCCCCGTCAGTTCTCTAGGCCAGCACAGTTTCCCAAAGACTAGGTGTGTGAACAACTGGTGGTACAAGGAATGATCTTAGTTTGTTCTCCTTTAATCTTTCTGGTCACAAGAAGGAAACAGTCTTGGTGTGGTCCTATGTATCTTTTTTTTTTTAAGATTTATTTATTTATTTGAGAGAGCGAGAATGAGAGAGAGAGAGAGTACATGAGAGGGGGGAGGGTCAGAGGGAGAAGCAGGCTCCTCGCTGAGCTGGGAGCCCAATGCGGGACTCGATCCCGGGACTCCGGGATCATGACCTGAGCCGAAGGCAGTCGCTTAACCGACTGAGCCACCCAGGCGCCCGGTCCTATGTATCTTAAATGGGCTTCACAACATAAGCTTATTACCCTATTTCACCGGGCTCAGACTGGCCTGCAGCAGCAACACTAGCTAGAATCTAATAACACGGTTTTATTTTCACAGACTTTACATATTTATAAGTATAGCCTGGCTTCTATTTAGAAAAATGGATACAATTTTTCAGTAGTGATAATGGTTTTACTGAATAATCAAGTCTTCCTGTTAAATTTTTAAGTTACAATGACTCAATTAAAAATATGAAAACAGTATCAAAGGTAGCCAGAAATGACCAAATTCTGAAAGATTAAAGCCTGGGAAACACTGTGTTGAGGGAAACATACAAGTTTATATAGTCTTTTACTCAAAATATAGGATTTCCTTTAAGAGAAAACAGAAGTAAAACATATATAATTACTAATTAGGTCACTGTTGGATTCTCCCCAGGCATGCATGCCCTGATTTTTTTTTATTTATTTATTTTTGGCTCTATATAGGTCAATGTCTAGGGTTCGTGGACAACACAAACCAAAAACAGGAATACCTAAAAAAGCTGTATAAAACGCATAAAAATATTTTCAAGGGTGGCAGTTCTCCTGGGCTTTTTAAAAAAAATACTTGACAAAGTCAGTAAATTGAGATTCTAGGCCAAACAACAGTATTGGCAATACATGTGCTTTAGAATCTTAATTGTATAAGGATAAACTCCATTATACCATCCTTTCTAGAGTTTAAGAAATATATAATTGAAGAAGTTTAATGTTGAACCTTTCTTTCCCCATAATTTATGGGCACGGACTCTGATGCATGACAACAGAAATACTTTTTCCTTACCTCACAAAGCTTCTGAACACAACCAGAATGGTAATTTAAAAATCAAACAACAACAACAAAGAACGATCAGGGTATTATAGATAAAAGAACTCAAACAACTTTTAAAGAATAAGTAATTATGGCATGGTGGAGTGTTTCTTTTCAATTAGGGATTACTGACCTACTTAACAGCCCCGTACAGAAAACTCAATGCTTCCCCCAAGAAGAAACTATCTTTTTGTTTCAGTACAGTGAGAAGTTAATGTAAACTTAAACAATCAATAATAATCTCTGAACCCCCTTTTCTGCATAATAAAGAACTATAATGATCCCAAGTTCTACGTATGTTTAGATTTAGATTAAAGTTCTTTAAAACAGTTCATTCTCTCATTGGTTTCTAAAACAAAAACTGTGACATATTAGACACAAGGTTTTTACTACTATACCACTCAGAAAAATAAAACCATTTCTATAGAATATCCAAAAATCTAAGACTTTAGTACCCAGCACTAGAGAAGGGGTTTTTTAGTAATCATTCCATAAGAGCTACAGAACTCATTACTATTTCTACAATCTTTAGAGGGTATTTTCTGTTCTTTAAATTTCTAGTCCCCTCTTCCCTGGTGTCTAAACAGGATTTGGGGTGGGAACAGAAGCAAGAAGCTTCCAGCAGCTCCAGAGGTCCCTCCCCTCCAGGATTCGGCCTTACCCGTGTTCCTCCAGCCCTCCTACTACCACCCACTTCTAGAAATCCATAGGGTTTTTTCGATTTCAAAGAGTTAAAGTCAGCATACAGTCGGTTAGAAATTTCAGTAAGGTGCCCTTAGTCCTTTGCAACAGGCAGAGAAAGTTCAAATGTCCCCCAGCTCCTTAAGCTGGAATGCACTCTCCTTGCTCACCACCTCTGACTACATCTAAGCTGTTCAGCAGATCCAAGCACGCTGCATTTAAGGATATAGAACAGAAATATCCAGTTGTATAAAACTGTGTTTTCCAATATGGTAGCCACTAGTTCATATGTGGCTATTTACATTTGAATTAATTAAAACTGAATTAAGAATTCAACTCCTTGGTTGTACTAACTACAGTTCAAATGCTCAACCGCCATTTTGTTTGGTAACAGCTGTACTGGACAGAGCACATATAGGACATTTTCGTTACCACAGAAGATCTACCGGACAGCGCTGGTCTAAATACATTTGTATGTATGTTTGGTTTCAATTAAAAGAATAAATACCTAAGCTAGAGACTAATTATATGACAGTGGTAGTTTTCTGTTGAAAAAAGAAATACAGTTGGTTAGCGTGGACCTATACTAATCTAGTATAAAACAAATGGTAGATCTAGAAAAGCAGATAAAATATTTGACTCATGAGTAATACTAATTCTTTGATCATTAAAGAGCATAATATAAAAAACTAATTATCTACTGAAAATTCATAATGTGTAAAACCACATAAAACAGAATAAAGTAGAAACAAGCCTTTAATCTTTGTAAATTAACATTCTTAAGGAGACAGGACACACAGACAGACAGAGGTTATTCTTTTTGTGAGCATGTTTTTTCAGACTGTGAAGAGGGGGATGCCAGGACGTCAGCCTCTGTCCAATGAGGCCAAGAAAAGGAAAAGTAAACAGTAGAGTTTATTGTAACTAATTTTTGCAAAATGCCTAAGATTATGAGCTCTTACTGTGGCTCAAAAGGATTTAAAAATTACCTCCCACAACAGCAAACACTAAAAAATCACTGTGACTGGGAAAATGATCTCATGAGTCTCCTCACCATTTCAAGTGTAACTTCATGAAGTGGTAAATGTTATAGGGAATCCTCAAAAAAATTCATTCAGGAAACATTTGAGTGCCTATTAATGTGAAAATTCTGTGTGTGTCCAGGAGAGGGTACCTCACCTCAGGAGCTGCTGAAGTAAATGCCAACCACTGGGGAGGGGGAGGGGTCTGGTTTTGTTTCAGCTTAAGTGAATGTGGGTATATATATTACATATATGTAACAATATTTACTATGAGGCTTAACTAGTTAAATGGGTAAAATGTGAGATGAGGTTTAGATTGGGGGAAGGTAATCAGGTAGTAATAACGTAGGAGATTATTCTAGACTGTAAACACAGGAGAATCTTAGAAGGAAACAGGTTGGTGTGGCTGACACGGGAGGGTAAGGTGTACCTGAGACTAAGGTTAATGGGATTAGTCATTATTTTGACTTTACTACAGTATGTGGAGATATCTATATATTTTTATAGGTTTTTAATTGGTTAGAAAAAGAGAGACTAAAGGTGAATAAACCATTTGCAGCAGCAGCTTAGAATAGATTAATTCTGAGATAATTTAAGTTGAACTAGAGTTTAGGCCTCAGAGACGGGAGTGAATGCTATTTGCACATTGGCTCTAACAGTTTATAAGGGTGTAGGGAAGAGAGGGGCTATTAAATACTTCCTTAAAACATTCAACAGTAATTAGAAATCTCGGTTTTTTAACAATACTGGAGTATTTCTGATGTTTTACTTTCATTAATTTTTAAAATCAAAATTAAATGCTTGTTTGTAGGAACTCAAACAGTATCTATGTAGAGTATAAAAAATAAAAAGGAAGATTTTGCTCTTCCCCACCTCCAATACCCTGGAATCCACTCCCTAGAGGGAAGTCCTGTCATTAAAATTTTGTATTTGTTTTTTAAGCTCTTTTGATATTTGTATATAAAACATGTATTATTAGTGTATGGGTAGGATCCTAATATTCCTATTGGCCACAATATGCTCTTTTTACTTAACATTATATAATGGACGTCTCTAGAGCTTTCACCATGGCCTGACAGTTCATGATTGTGAGGGACAGGCTTTCGGCAAGGACCGTCCTAGTGCATCTGTAGCTGTGGCAGCTGATAGTCACTCAACTGCCTTCTCGTTACTGAAAATATCACATTGCAATTACCATCTATAATACAGCATTTATGTTTTCTTTTCTAAGTATCAATTAGATTTAAAAGAGTAGCTAATCTGAGGTTAGACACAGTCTCCTCAGTTTATTTCCCACATACGAATTTTCTTTAATATAATATGACTTACGACACTTGTAAAGCTGCATTTATTTCCTTGAGTAGCTCGTTAGTCTTATTAAAATCTGCCCGCATGATATTTTTCTCTCTGAGGTGGTCTGCTGTCATGACATCCAGCTCTTTTTCAAGTCTCTTGTTTAAATCTTGTTCATGCAACCTGTTTAATTTATTTTTAGTTAAGAATACGTTATTCTGAGGTCAAGCTTTCAAAACTTTCTATAAGACTCTACCAGATTTGAAATGGTTTTAGGTATAATATATAGAAAATTAATGGAAACAGCCTAAAATAAGTTACTTACTTTGCTCTAATCTTCTAGCTTGTTAAAGTTGTCTCCTTTAATGCTTTTTAAACTCTATTTTATAAAGATTTTAGTTAATTATACAATTTCCGAAGTTATTGAATGCATACATATTATTCAAAATACAAACACTTCATCTATGTTCTAAATTAAAGCAGTCAACAAATAAAGTAAGAAGTGGTAATCAATATCTACTAGAAGGCAGTCTAGCCATAAAAATAGACATTTATTGCTAACTACTATACAACAGTCTTTTAGATAACACTGTATATTCCTTCTTTTGTAATTAATGGCATACCTCATCTGTTGGTTAGATTCACTTCGTATTCTGAGAATTTCTTTCCCCTTAAATTCCAATTCTTTGGTTAGGGCACTTATATTTTCATGAAGGTGCTGTACCTCCTTATCCAAGTCTGAGATGTGATGCTCTCTGTGCCTTAATTCCTCTTGTAGATCTGTTATTCTACACATATGTTCCTTACTCTGCAAAGTACAAATAATTTTTTTTTAAGTAACCTCTGTACAGGGCTTGAACTCACGACCCTGTGATCAAGAGCCACATGCTCTACTGACAGAGCAAGCTACATACCCTACAAATAATTCTTAAAAGTTTTCTAGTATTTGCTTTCTGCATTTACCTAAGGGAAAGAAAATGACATAGTGGAATGTCCAATTTAATGACATTGCTTGCAAACTGCTGAAATAAAACCTAAAGGCCTCTTCTCTTCCCATCTATAAGAAGTGTTTATACGGATAAATATCAGGGTGACAAGAGGCCCAAAAGACCATGAAAGCACATCTCCCACACACTTTGGAGATGAGGAAACCAATACCCAAGAGATATCTGTCCAAGGATGATTTATAATGAAGCGGGGCTGAGATTAGAATGCAGGGCTCCTCCATACTCACCAAGTTATATGGGCTTACAATAAAATTCTGGCACCATTGCCCTTTCATTTAAAAAGGCCCTGCATCTAGGGAGGCTATCCCAGCACGCACACACACGCACACACACACACATCCTATGGCTTAGAAAGCAGACTGTCTGCTCAGTGTTGATATAGCAGTTACCTTGTCTGAAAGATAAGCTCCCTTCCATTTTCCTAGAAGTCACTGTTTTCTGCAATGTCTATCTACACATTGTCAATTTCAGTGTCAGCCTCGTTAGAAGAAAACATAATTTCCCTCCATGGTTATAAAGTGACTCATTTAAAACTTCATAGCAATGAAGAGAAAATTTGAGCTGATCATTTAACAGAGCTAAAGACTAACAAAGTCAAAGTTTTAAGTCTAACAAATGATGGCCTTCATGCACTATGTCTAGAAATCCATCCATCCAGACATTTTAGATCATAAACTATCTAATTGAAGGAAGCATACTTGTCCAAAGAGCAAAGTTTAAAAAGCATAAGTAGTACCTGTGCTAGAGTGATATGCAAATATCAGTTATCTTTTTCCTTGAGCATCTGCTACTTCTATAGTTACGCTATCCAGTATGACTATTTAAATTCAAGTTTAAATTATTCAAAATTAAACAAAACCAGACACATAGTCACACTAGACATAAGGCCATGTGGCCAGTGACTCCCGTAGTGGATAGCACAGATATAGAACAGGTCCATCATCTTGGAAAGTTCTATAGACCGTGCTGTTTCATAGTATTCTGCCTTCACTCTTCGTATTATTTATATTTCATTGTTCACCTTCTCAAGATGCAAGTAAAATTCAAAATATTCAATTAAAAATTCATAAAATGTAATTTTATGACCAATATGCTAAAGTCAAGTTACCTATTTCCCTTTAAAAATAAGACTCTTAAATATAGATGGTAAATAATAACTAGTGAAAATACTAGTTATTACAAAATAATTTTCAGAAAACGGTCAACATTCAAATCTATTCACATTTAAGGAATTGTCACATAACAGAATGTTCTTCTTTACCTGTCTTCTGCTGATGTCTATGCTTCGCTCTAATTCCATTTTAGCAGCTGCCAATTCTTGATGATGACTATGCCGTAACAAATCAATTGCAGCTGCATGTTGATGGTTTAGTTCCGAGCGTAAGGAAGCTGGAATACAAGGAAAAAAAAAAAAACCTTTTGTGTATTTTAGAAATATTATTGATACTTCACATAAAAATTATAAAAGTCACAGAATAGTATTTTTTTAAATTAGGACACTTGTGTATGCCCATTAAAATATCCTAGACTATCATATAACATCATGAATTTAGAGGTCATCTAGCTTTGTAAGGATAAGGAAATTTTCATCTGCTCAGATGGATCAAGGTATTTCCATATATGCTTTTGGTTTGCCAGTAAGGTGTGAATGGAGACAAAATGTTTTTTAACTTTTCTAATTCACTATTGGAATAGTAACATTTTAGAACTGAACAGTACCATAACATTCTCATTTAGGAAGCAACTTCCCACCCAGGTAAGAATTCTTCCACAATAGTTCTGAAAGACGTTAAACACTGGCTGGTGAATGCTTTGATTTTTAAGTCATGATTTTTATTTGAATCTGAGATTATTTGATACAAACCACATTTATTGAATGCCAGGTACTACACTAAGGGAGAACAAAATATGACCCTGTTCTAATAACCACACAGGCTAGAGGGAAAGGCATCAAGCCAGGGAATTAAGTGGGATAGCAGAGATGAATATCATGAATGAAAGCACAGTGGTGGAAGCACCCAAATTTCCTAGGAGAAGGAAACTGGGAATGCTATCACAAAGGAACTGTCACAATAACTCAGTCTAATGCACTGAGTAAGGGTTCTCCCAAGTGGAGAAAGAGAAAAGCATTAATGAGGAAGGGATAACATAAAAAGCAGAAAGAACCAAATCGATCAGGTGAACTGTAAGAAGACTGGTGTGGTGGGTGCCCACAGAGCATGTGGTCATAGTGGAAAGAAAATGGAGCCCAGTCTGAGAAAGTTTTAGCACAAAATGCTTTTGACTTTACATTTGGGTTCATGGTTCCCAATCTGGGATATGTGTGGCAGTATGTCTGAGGGACTTTTAGAGTACACACGATCATCTTCTGAAACATGAATTGTACTTGAAGATTTTGGGGAAAGCCATTACTTTCATGTTAATACAAAGGAGATATGAGTAAAATGCAAATTGTACATTTTAAAGCTAAAACATGAGACAACTTCAAAGAAATGCTGTGCTTGTAACCAGTCATTTTAGGCTCTTCCTGAGACCTCTATGTAGGGGGCATAAGTTCAGCCTCCCTGCGGTAAGCGCTACTTCTGCGGAGAAACTTGACAGGCACTGAGGTAGGACATGGGAGTTACTGAAGGATTTAAAGTTGGGAAGTTCCATGGTGAGATCTGAGTCTTATAAAGATTAGCCAGACTGGAGTCTGGAGGGTGAACTGCAGGAAAAAGATCAACGAGAAGGTTATAGCAATAACCCAGGTGAAAAATGATATGACCCTGAACTGAGTATGACAAAAGGACTAAAGAAGAGGGAACAGATGTAGGAAATATTTAAGTGAAGGAACTAACAGGATGTGGAAGCAAAAGAAAAAAAGTTAAATGCATCTTCTACCTTCCTGGCGTGGGCAAATGGGTAAACAGTAATACTCTTAATTAAAATGGGAGGTACAGGAATGGCAACACATTTTGGACCTGAGGGAGATGGTGAGCTAATATTTAAAAATACAGAGTGTAAGTTAGAATATCTAACTTTCTAATATGTAGTAAAAAATAGAAATCTAATTCACAAGGAAAGCAGTTTGGTCTAGAAATACATATTTGGAATCACTAGCATAATAGATGGTAGTTGAAGTCATAGTTGTGAATCCAATCAACCAGGAAAAGCCTGAAGACTGAAAAATGGACCAGAGGGCTGGGGACTAAATCCTGGGAAACAGCAATATTTAACAGATGCATGGGAAACAGGACTAGCACATAAGATTAAAGAGCAGGGATCAGAAAAGTGGGAGTGCAGTGGAATTTCAAAGTTCAATGGTGACCTCAGGGAGAGTAATTTCAATGGAATAATGGGGGCAAAATGTAGACCTGAATGATCCTGACAAAGGACTAAGTATCTAGAATACATGAAGAACTCTCAAAACTCAACAGTAAAAATACAAACAATCCAGTTAGAAAAGATACACAGCAGATGAACACATGAAAACATGTTGAACATCATTAGCCATTAGAGAAATGCGTGAGTAAAATTCACAATAATACCACACTCCTATCTGAATGGCTAAACTACAACACAGTGACATCAAATGCTGGTAAGGATATGGCAGAAAACTGTCACTCATTCGTTGCTGGTGAGGATATAAAATGGTACAGCCATTCTAGAAAATAGTTGGGCACTTTCTTAAAAGAAAACTAAACCTACAACCATCATATGACCTGGCAACTCCACTCCCAGGCATTTATCCCAGAGAAATGAAAATTTACACTTACACAAAACTGGAAACACCGGATGTCCTTCAATGGGTGAAGGACAACAACTGACCTTCAGCAATAAAAAGGGACAGACTACTGATACATACAACCACCTGGATGAATCTCTAGAGAATTATGAGGGGTGAAAAAAAGCAATCCCCCAAAGGTTACACATTATTACATTTATAACATTTTTTAAATGACAAAGTTATAGAAATAGATAACAGATTAATGGTTACCAGGAATTAAATGTGGGGAGGAAAGGGAAGTAGGTGTCGCTATAAATGGGCAATAGGGACCCACATGGTAATGGGAGTGTTCTAGGTCTTGACAGTGTCAATGTCAATATCCTGGTTGTGATATGAACTATAGTTCTGGGGAAAATGGATAAAGGGTTCAGAGGATCTCTCTGTATTATTTCTTACAAGCTCATATGAATTTATGACTATCTCAAAATAAAAAAGTTTAATTTAAAAAAATCACTAAAAGTCCTTTTGCCAATAAAGAGGTATTGAAATCAAGTTTCAATGGACTAAACAATAGTGCTAACACTTGGCCTTTTTTTTTTTTTT